AAGAGGAATTTTCTCTCCATATATGTTGTTCACAATTCCTCTGCTTTATGCACTGAGAACCTTGTTTTTCAGATTACCGTTCAGAGGTATTTTCAAAGACAATGATTAACTCACAGTTCACCGCACCGAATGATTTCCCCACTTATGATGTTCACTACTCGAGTTCCTCGATGTTAATTGAGCTCAATATTCAGATATTAAGTAAGATTTGCCACCCGATTATTTTGTAAACTTATAGAAGAAGCACAATATATAATTAATTGATTTGATATATTTCAAAGAGATTAGACAGCGTTCTAGAATCAATCGGGACTTTGTTATTTATGTAGTGATAGTCAAAAGACAACTAAGCTGAATTTAGTTTCGTAGATTTATATTTTATGATTTGGGAGTATTTATTAATTATTATCGTAGATTATTTTCAACAAATCTGCTCATGTGTGTTTTTATGTGATGAGTGACATGAAAACAAAGTTGCTTCTGTTTTTTTTTCCAGAAGTTTGCGTCAGTAATTTTGAAATGAAACACATATATTGAGATGCATATAAATCAAGCTGCCTTTGGTCCTATTTGAACGCCAGAACAATTATCACAGAAACATTCCGACAATCTGGATGACCGCTAAATATTCCCTTTTATATGGATATCACATCTTGCTCTCAAGGTGGCCATTAAATTTAGCGCATTGGGATATAATTTGCTGAATATTTTTACGAAAATCCATAGCAATTTTCTAGAAATCCATGTTGGTAATAGTACGAGTTTGTTTCAAAATGATTTATCACAAAATCTCACAAGTGCATCTAGTAATAACACTCAAATACCCACTAATTATAATGTTGCAAGAGTAATTAGGCCACTCAAATTCTTGTGGCATGACTGCTGCCAATCATTAACCGATTATTCCAAATAAGTTAAATCAATAACAAGCAGACTCTGCAATGTTGAAGTGAGAGACGACAAACCAGATCAAATGTCCATTTAACCTTTCTATTTTTTCAATAAAAAAATCGCGACGTGATGTTCTGAAGATCCTCCTGACATTGAATCTAGGATTTAGTGAAAGTACACCGCTCAAGGTCGTTTATTACACGAATCCGTATCATAATTGTTGATACTGCACAGAAAATAGTCGGAGGAGTTCCAAGATTGCGGGATTGCTTCATATTTGAGTGTATACTGTTTTTTGTGCTACTTTGAACGGCGCCTTTTGCACTCGAAGGTCAAGGCAAAATCCTCAAAGTTTATTTCAGGAGTTCTAAAGATTCAACTCTTTCCTTTATTTCTAAAAAAGTTTGTTTTATATGTGAAAAAAGTATAGAGTAGAAATAATATAAAAGGGTTTTTATAAACATCCTTTCTTGCAAAGAAGTAACCTTCAGACACATTATAAGAAAAAACACAGAATTCATTCACAAAATTACGAATTTATGTCACGGAATGAGTTCAATATGTTCATGTCATCGATGACAGTACGCTTATTTGATTGAATCCCAGCCAAAGGAATCTTGTTTAAATTGAAAAGGGTATATTTTCAGGAGAGGTTAATTTTTGGCAAAGAAATGTTTTGGCTTTCTACTTCTCCATCTTGGATGAAGATGAAATACCAATTTGTTCGAGGTACAAGGAGAGAAGAAATTGCACAAAGTCCCTATCAATCCATAAGTTTCCCGTATTTCAGTAATTCAATTTAAAAGGTTCTCTCCAACGGAAAGATTCAGAGGCAAATTGAATGTCGCCATTGAGTTTTTTTCAAAAGGATTAGATATGAGCAATCATGCAGCAGACAGTGTGGCTCCTTGTCGTTACAATCTATATGCACTTTCGAATCACGGTGGGACTACTTACAACGGGCATTACACAGGATATTGCAGACACCCTTATATTTTACAAATTTTTATATCAGCATTAGCTTTAAAACGAAAAATAGAGTATCTGACATACTCAAAAAGCATGCAGAGTATCCAAAATATACCTACTGACTTCCCGTAAAGGAAATTAGTTATTTCAGATAGACCGTGTGTTTCTAAAACATGTGTCTGGTGTACATATTTTTGAAGAGTTCCCATTAAAGCTTGTTAATTTTGAACATTATTGTTGAAGTCGGATGAAAAAAAAATGTTTACAGTGATCAAGAATATTTGTGTTTGTGTATACACCGTTGGATCAAAACGATAAATAGGCATTAGTTAGTGTCTAACTGAAGTTGATTTTGAAGGTAAAATAGATTACTAACCACGTTGTAGGTATACCTATTAGAAAAAATATACTTCCAACTTGAACAAAAACAATTCTATGAGACGTGACAGATCGGACTTGCAATAATTAAGAATTCAAATTCAACACTAGTAAAGAAATATTGAAAATAATAATAGTTTCATCAAACTCCTAATTTTCCTGGAGTAATGGATAATTATCATAATGTTCCTCACTCATTACGCAGTTACCCAATAGATCACCATTTTAACAAGGAGCTGGAATTATGGAAAAGGTTATTGTCCAGTATTGTTAGCTTTGATAACAATTAAACTGTTTGCTTAAGTATTTGATGCTCAATTATATAATGAACTTATTCGTGTTATTTCACAGTTTTACTGTACTCAGTAGTCATAAATTGAATTACACGGGGTTTC